AGGTGGCTTTGTAGTAGCCTTTGTTGTTCCTCTTGGCACCAGCTCCAATAATGTCGCTGAGTTCGATGACTTGGATCGAGGCATCTCATTGGCGCATGAGATAGATTGCCGCCCTCTTATCATTGAGAGTGGCTCTAAGTTACTAGTTGACTTATTCACCTACCACAACTCTCCCCCATGAAGGCTTCGCATCCTCTTGTGCAACTGTAGGGCAAATCTCTCCTCCTTTACAGATCACCAGTAACAGATATTGCATGTATTCCAAGAGGCGAATTTGACTACTGATTGCCTGGCTAAGCAAGCGGCATTCATGGCGCAAAGCATAGTTTAGCGGGCCCATCCCCTTGATTTTGTCACTCCCTTCATTTCGTGGGATAACATCAATGCCCCTCTTGAAAGGCCTGGTTAATTTCTTGTACATGTTCTCCTCTACGATATAACATTTTTCTTGTGTTCATTAATAAAAACAAAACGGGTAGGGGCTCATTATCCCTACCGATTTACCCAAATAAAAAAAGGAACAAGTCATTGTTTCTTCTAGGAAAAGAGCCTGGGCTTAATTAGTTAGCGCTTGACAATTTGCAATGCTACATCGTAAGATCAATTCCTACCAAGAGTAGGGGCCCTATCCCCACTGACTAGCCCAAAAAAAAAAGTTATTATTTCTTCTATCTTTGGGTGGATAAAGCTGGGATCCAACTCTAAGTGTCAAGGCTTTGGATAATGTAGGGTTCTAACGCAAAACGTAAGGCTCTACGCTTGCACCACTGATTACCTTTTGGTAGGACTACAAACCTGGCCTAAGCCCAACCCAGCATCCTATGGGGCTCGGCCCATGTCATAGGGGTTTGGCTGGTCAAGTCAGGCCAAGCCAAATAGATTCCTTTTTCAAAAAGAAAAATAGAAAAAAATGTGGGAAATGTGTTGGAAAATTGTTGGGTGGAAAAGGGGAAAAAAGTTAGTAAGATTTTCAGAAATTCGAAGTTTGATCCCTTCTTATTTTCGGGTACGCATGAGCGCTATCTCAAGACGATATTTTTCCCCCTTCGATATTGTATTTGATGTACATAAAAAGGGAAATTTGTCCTTGGTATACAGGAAAACAGAAAGGCCTCTTTGATATTTCTAAGCTCTATACACTTGAGCTTGGAACCCACACACTAGACACCATAGTCTTGATGTTTTAGAGAGAGAAAACAACATAGTAGACACCAGAGTCTTGATGTTTTAGAGAGAGACACAAAATCGAGTAGAGAGAGGTTTGCCCATTGGTTTGCTCCCTGGAATTGCAGAGAAATGTGTATTGTTGAGAGGCTCAAAAGGTGGTCAAGTGGCCAACTCATATGGGTAGGATGACCTTTATTATAAAGCACCAAGTGGTTGCCATATAATATTGTTGTAGTTATATGTACCACCAACAACTACAAGTTACATGCACTTGCTCATTTAATGTGGTGGGAAGGGTTTAGTGGGTTAGCACTTAATGAGGTCTATATGCACTTGATGGTTAACGGCTAGATGATCATTGGATGGGCTTAAAAAAGCTATCGAGCCTCGAGCTCAACCCACACACGTACTTGGGCGAAGGGCGCCTCATGTATCGATGTAAGCAAGTTACATGCACTTGCTCATTTAATGTAGTGGGAAAGGTTTAGTGGGTTAGCCCTTAATGAGGTTTATATGCGCTTAATGTTTAATGGCTAGATGATCGTTGGATGGGCTCAAAAAAGCTATGGAACCTCGAGCCCATGCACTTGATGTTTAATGTCTAGATGATCGTTGGATGGGCTAAAAAAAGCTATTGAGCCTCGAGCCCAACCCACACACGTGCTCGGGCAAAAGGCGCCTCATGCGTCGATGTGAGCAAGTTACATGCACTTGCTCATTTGATGTAGTGGGAAGGGTTTAGTGGGTTAGCCCTTAATGAGGTTTATATACACTTGATGGTTGACGGCTAGATGATCATTGGATGGGCTCAAAAAACCTAATCGAGCCTCAAGCCCAACCCACACACTCGCTCGGCCGAGGGGCGCCTCATGCATCGATGTGAGCAAAGTAAAAGTGCACCATCTTGACGGCTAGATGATCATTGGATGGGCTCAAAAACCTAATCGAGCCTCGGGCCCAACCCACACACGCGCTCGGGCGAGGGGCCCTCATGCGTCGACGTGAGCAAAGTACAAAGTGCACCATCTTGACGGCTAGATGATCTTTGGATGGGCTCAAAAAACCTAATCGAGCCTCGAGCCCAACCTACACACGTGCTTGGGCGAAGGGCGCCTCATGCGTCGATTGGATAGGCTCAAAAAACCTAATAGAGCCTCGAGCCCAACCCACACACGTGCTCGGGCGAGGGGCGCGTCATGCGTCAATGTGAGCAAAGTACAAAGTGCACCATCTTGACGGCTAGATGATCATTGGATGGGTTCAAAAAGCCTAATCGAGCCTCGAGCCCAACCCACACACGTGCTTGAGCGAGGGGCGCCTCATGCGTCGATTGGATGGGCTCAAAAAACCTAATCGAGCCTCGAACCCAACCCACACACGTGCTCGAGCAAGGGGCGCCTCATGCGTCGATGTGAGCAAAGTACAAAGTGCACCATCAAGCACTTTTGCGCCTACACCCTCGCACACGCGTGTCGCACACTTCGCGTGCTCCACACATACACTCTCTCTCACCTTGTATTAAGAGTATAAGGCATGTGAATGCCTACTCTTAAATATTGCTCTATTAACTCTGTCCTTTTCAATGTGGAACTCAATCCCACAACTTTCTCTCTCTACAAAACAACTTAAGAAAAAACCACAAAATCATATTGTTGTTTTGAAATACAAACAAGTATTTTTCAAAAACAAGATCAGCCATAACCTTAATCCAGGCCATACTTTATGGCCGAGGCCGGCCACATAGAGTCGTCTGTCTGATACATCCCAAGAAAGTCGGGAAATTTTCTCAACATTTGATACAAGTTACGTAGCTATGCTGCAATGATCGGAACATGGTCTGGCAAGCACTTGAGTTTACAGCACTGCAGGTTCTTCCTATTCCTCCCCTTAAAAATATTTTCAAAGGAACTTAACAATATTTTCAAGGGAAAATTATAAACCCACCTCCGCTCAAAAACCCAAGAGTAAAAGAAGTTAATTTTTTTTGACAAAAATATCTCCCTATAAAACATATATTTTTTTTCAATTTTTTTCCCGATCGAAGCTGATTCGGCACACAATGTATTAGACTGACACGCGATATTAAAGCCGGTTTAGCATAATGTGCCCACACATTGTTCCAGACCGAAATGAAATCAATCTAACACAATATATGAAGAACCGACTTCAATAAGGACAAACTAATTTGACATTATGTGTGTCGGACTAACTTCAATACAGGCAAGGAAAAAAAAACATGACATCTAAGAGAGGTATTTTGATTAAAAAAAACTTTTTTTTAATTGGGTGGACACAAAAAGAGTTTGGTTTTGGGATTAGTAAAGTTTTATCGGAGAGCGCGCCTAGTAAAATTTGAGTGGAGGGGGTATTAAAGCAAACCTCGCCCTTCAATCAAGGGTGCCATATCTCTCTCACTCAATCTCCATGAGGATGTCACGTCTCTCTCTCTCTCCCCCCAAATGATGTGTACCCCTAAATCTCATATGCTCTTACATCTCGTCTAAATGCTTAAGCCCCATTTGTATGCCACTCTAAACAATTGATTGGCCCTTGAGTCGGCCAGGTAATGGGCCGGCAAGCCAGGCCTGGCACTATTGGCCGGGCCTTGGGTTATAAGAGATCACCAGACGGCCTGCCACATCAGAGCCATCTTCAGTTCAGCCCAGCCCGGCCTTTATTTTCTTACTTTTTTTTGCTTTTTATCATTTATTTGATTGTACTTTGATCAGTCCAGCCCAGCCCACCCCAGCCCAGCCAGGCCTTGGCCCTACTAGTAGAGCCTCCTCAGCCTGGTTAGGGCTGGTATGGACTGGGGCTAGGGTTGGACCAATCTCCGTTGCCAGACTAACTCTTGAGGTGGCATTGCTCATTTACAGTTGGAGCAGTGGTTTCAAAGCTAAGTTATAACCCAAGTGACCCTCGAAATCTACAAATATGTGAGTGAAATAAAAATTAAAAATACCAATTTTTATAAGTAGAACATGAGATTATTTACAAAGAGACCATTTATCTTTATTACAAAGAAGTCACTATGTCCATTCATTAGATGACAAAAGATTGAATGGCTAAAGATGAATCATAAAGTCCAAAAAAAATTTTTTTTTTGGAAACTTTGTATCTATCAATGACAATCTTACAACCACCCATTTTAAAATTCAAGGGATGAATGATTGTAACCTCCTTATATAGAAGGTAAACAATATCTTTGTATATTTTTCCATCAAACATAGCATAAGAAACAAATTGTATACTTGGCTCCCGAGGGTACGCTTAGATGTCTATGATGGGTTTAGAGCATGAAACTTTGGGATCCATTGTAAAACAACTATATGAGTTTATTTTAAAGAAATTTTCAAATTTTATTGTTCTTAAGTACTTAGATAAGAATATCCAAAAACTAGATAAGCTCTGTTCAATATTAAGACATTTTTTCAGGTACTCAAAAAATGCACGATTTTTTTTTAGAGGTTGGTCCACTTGGTTGAGGTCATTACCGGGGACTGAATGGACACCCACAGGAGAATATAATCTCTTGGCTTTCATCTACCTCAAACACTAACAGGCTTTGTCAGGGCAACGACCACATGTTGGTTAACAGTATGTTTTCTGACGTGGATTAGCTGTGGCTCACTTCATGAAATGGAAGACTAAACATGATAATCCAGGCCAATGGTAACACCACATATCTCAGGATGATCTCGTAACATTTCCACAAGATCTCAAGCGTGAAGTTCAAAGACCCCAAATTTTTACAAACAAAGAGTGGGGGGGGGGCATAATGCCATAATCCTAAGACGACTATGTAAAATTTCACTATATTGCAAAACATTATCTGCAAAGATAAGGAGAGCGAGAGAAAATGATATACATTCAATTGCAACTGTTGCAGGGATTAAATGGCTCTAACAAAGAGCCACAACATGTGGCATTTTATCAAAACAGCAAACAATAGAACTTCAAAAGTACTCTCAAGTGAGAAAATGTAGAAACAAGGCAAAGTTTCATTGCTTCCTGCCACACTATGACATGCATGAAAGAAGTATACACACCTCTGTAAAACATTGACTAAGCGGCCCAACCATGTTCGATGATAAAGTACAGCCAACCATCTTTACATAACTCCATTACGTTGTCCATGTGCATAAAGGCACTGCCAAGTCCAACACAGCATGGTAAAGAAAAAAGAAAAAAAAAAGGGTTTGTATACTATGAGACAGTACACCTCTTACATATGAGGGTTACAATCTCTTAGCTATCAAATTTGAATCAGAAGGCTATTAGTGTCAGCAAGCTCGGAAATAGAGCCTTTTGAGCAATGTCAATAGAACACCCCAACTGTTGGATTACAAATCCAATGGCTAAGGGTAATTTTGACTGTACCAAAAAAAACCTACTATATACTTCTAATAATTAAAAACATCCAAAAACTCAAAATGCGTATGTACTGGAATTTTTAATTCTCTGAGACAAGTGAGCAGTTCATCTCTGAACATAGGCCATCTCATTCTTGGAAAAGTTTTTTTTGTCCCTTTTTTTCTTTTTTTCTTTTTTGTTGTTATGAACAGCTCCTTATAGGAAGTCGACAGGAGGTTGCTCCATAGAGGGGGAAGTCAACAGGTATTGTTGGATTTATAGGAGGCAAATGGGCTTAACAAGTGAACAACTTGTATTAGTGAGTATCAAAGAGGGGCATGGAGTGCGAGTACTGAATAAAAAGCATGGGCAGCAGTTTCTAGGTGAAATATTTGGGACGGGGAAATATGAAATATACGAGGACCGAGGGGTTCTCAAAAGTAGATTGGGATAACTTAGACTTGAAGGACATTGGATGCTTATAAATATTTGAAAGAATTTGGAGGTTTGCCTAGACTTTATAGATTGTTCTATGGTCATATACATGCAATTTAAAGACAAAGTGATATTCATTCTTAGGAAGTGCGAGTTGGTTCAAGTGGAAGGCTCAAAAAGGGCAAAAGGTAAGCCCAAAAGGACATGGTTGAAAGTAGTAAAAAAAGGCATGGGGACTTATGGCCTTAGTGAGGGTTGACCCACGATAGAACAGAATGGCGGACCAGGATTCCTGTAGCCAACCCCAAATAGTTGGGAAAAGCTGTGATATTGATGATGAAAATGCTTAAAGCCATTGGGAGGGTGGATGAAGAAAATTATATACTCGGTAAGGAGAAGGCTTGCGATTGAAGATGAGATGCTTGTAGATGGAAAAGGCAAAAAACATCATGCATATCGGCAGGCAGCTTGTATATTCTGATGAATCGCTCTCCCAAAGCTTTTTCCTATAGTCTATGACACCCAAGACAACAAAACCCTCCCTACCAATTTTAATTGATGACTGTCCCTCCCTCCCTTCCTCCATACCTCAATCAAACCCTCACTACCACTTTCGTTAATGACTGTCCCTCTGTCATTCAAAAGGAAGTTCGCCACATGGGAAGACCAATACACTCACTAAGGCAACCTTATCCAGCATCGAGGTGTTTGTAGTGTCCCACTGCCAAATGCCCATGTCAAAGGTCGAACAATTGAAGAAACAAAAGCTAGACTTCCCATGGAGATGGGTGGGTATGGACACCATTTCTTGCAAGGAGAATGTGCACAAGGCAATCAAGTTTGGCATAGGGTTTTCCTCCTCCAAATTTCGAGATGATTTTCAACAAGAGAAGATTGTGGAATGCCTTATTACTCAAAAAAAAAGGATTGTGGGATATAACAATACTTACTAGACCAATCTGGGATCAATTGGCTGTTTCTGCAATGCCCCTCTAGGCTGGTTGACTTTTCCACAGTTGAGTAATTTCCTTGGGTCTGTGGAGAGGGAGATAAATGGAACTTTCAAAGTAATCAAGTTAAGGAGAGATGTCTTGGCTGAGCATGACAGGTTGCCCCTCATTTCTTGCATTTAGTTTAAGAGGACTAGAAGAGTTTTAACCTGGTGCAGAGAGGAGAACCTTCCCTCAAAAAGAAAGTTAGAGGACAAGAACCTCTTAAGAAATGAGGGATCAATATAAAAGGTGAGACTGACGTCTGCCATCTTAAGAGGGTTCCCAAGCTTAACTTGATGGCAGTTCTCTTCACAGAATGAGTCCAACAAGGACCAAGACGTTTGTTTACTTGATTCATGCTTTGAATTCGAATGAAAGCAAAAGCCCTCTCTATTATGTGACCTCCAAAACACTTGCCTCATCTTCCTCCAGGCCTTTGAATGTAAGGAAGAATTCACTAAAGGTCATCAAGTAGACTGGGAAGGTATCTTTTGATCCCTAGAGGATCATGATGTCTTAAAGAATATTTTCAATATTTGCCAGTTCTTCAAAGGTCTCCATTAGCCTCATGGGAAGTAGAATTGCATGGTTCATTTTAATAATTTTGGAAGTTTCTTTACTAAAAAGCTGCACACACCATTTTTTTCCCTAAGCCAGAAATGCCAATGATTTCAAGAATTACAAATGCATCTGATATATCTATATCCCAAATGCACTTACGTTTCATCTTTATTTCTTCAAGTATCTTTATACATGCCATATTTAAATTATTTTACATTCCACACTTAAAAAATATGGCCCAAAAACGAAAGGCCAAGCCCCCCAGATCAGTCATTCTATCCCCATCTATCAAATGATCTTCAAAGAACACGTACTAATCTTTCATACCACCCTCTAACCATATCCAATCCATAACCGAAGAAATGACAAACGACAAAAAAAGTTATCTAGGACTGTCAAAGCTTAAAACAATGTTGTTTCCAGCACATCTATCCAAAGACAAAGGGCTTGCGCTCCCCAGAAGCAACGTTTGAGAATTACCGATTAGAGTGCCATCTCTGCTTGCAAAGCAGCAAGCTCGTCCTCCTCTGCTGTATTCTTTTGAGGAACAGGGCGCGTTGGTTGCCTGCCAGCTGGGACATACGGCACGGGGTTTGCGGGTGCAGTGGTTGCTGGTTGTAGAAGCTGTTCCTCCAATTCTGCTCCCTCTAACTCTTCAAGCTCTGCTTCCAATTCATCCTGCCAAAACCATAAATAAGTTACAAATTTCCCATCTTCTAAAGAAAAACAGTAGGAAAGCTATATATGTGTATATATATATATATATATATATATATATATATATATATACACACACA